GGAAGTGCTCTTCCTAAAGATGCTGCGCCCATGGAGCATAATTAGCCTGTTCGCTGTCATGCATGTGCAGCCAATAACAATAAAGTAACCGCAAAAGGAGAGAGAGAGAGAGTAAAAGATCGATAAAAACGAGCATGGAAAAATGTCTCCATCTGATCAACGTGCCCATGCAACTATCCTTGCAATCACGGCATGCGATTCAACAATTGATGTACTTTTCATTGCCCCCTACCCCTATTTTGATAGGTCAAATATTTTAATTTTGTGCGAGGATCATTGCCAGATCAAGGTATCAGGGGGTTACACTCATCAACCAATCCTAATTATTTATCTAGCTACTAATCAAAGATTATTTCATCGGGTTACCAATCGGAAGAGGGTCGGGAGGGGGGGGGGGGTTCAACTCTAGTTTTAGTGGATTTGACGAGATACGCTGATGGTTATGCATTTTTTTTATATGTATACATTATTTAGACATAGACAGGGCACTTGACCGGTTTCGCAATATTTGATCATGACCCAAAGTCTCAGTTTCAAGATATTTGTCATCTGTTCAAACTTAGATTTGCTGTTTTGGTGGTATGTACATTTGACCGGTGGGTATATTTTACAGTTTGAAATGAGAAAAATTGTGAGTAGATAGGTCAATCGACCTGTATATGCCGTCTTGTAGATATCCATATGACCATATCTTTCTGGAAATTTATGTTAGAACACCGAGTAGCTAGATGCCATAACGGATGCCAAACATTTACTTGGTGGGAATGCCCAAAAGTGTTTTCTTTGAGATATATCAAGTAGGTCAATATGAAGGGCCTGTTCGGATCGACTCCGCTCCACCGCTCTGCTCCAGGAGCGGACGGAGCGGTGCCGAACAGTACGACTCCGCGGAGTAGGGAGAGCGGAGCGGAGAAAACTGTAGCTCAATTCACGGAGTCGCTGAAACCGAGCTCCGCGAGCCGCTCCCCGCAAAACATACCGGAAGTGTGCATTTTACAAATACTAAATCAAACAGTTAAGCTTTTTCATCTTTGTTTAAATATTTCTGACATCAAATTTGCATTTAGCATTTAAAGATTTGTGTTACGACTGTCCATTTTTCAGGTGGAAAACTAACTTCTCGCTGCGGTGACTAGTCCCGCAAAAGAAAACAAAAACTTCTTGTGCCTGCTAAACAAAAAAAAAAACTAACTAGCCCTGCATGTTGAGTACGCTGTCAAAGTGATAATGACAACAAGTTAATGGTGAAAGAAAAGAGGCACGGGAGAAACGTTGCACTTCGTGAACGAATTGAAGCAGAATGTGTACATTGTATTTTTCGTTGCTGTTGAGTACATTTTTATTGAGGGCACCTCGTGACAGCAAAGGAGGGGCTACCTATATTATAATTACAGTGACGAACTGACCGGCCTCGGATTCTTACTGGAGGGCCGCAATTTGCACAGCGCGCTGTGTACAGAGCACGTGATGCATGCTGTAAACTTGTCGAGGATAATTACCGAAAAAGGTTTTCGCCCCGCTTTATAGATAAAGCAAACCGCCAAAGGACATACAACCACACTAAGTCCACACACACCCAAGTACGTCGAGGATAATTAGATACTACCACATGCACGCGTGAGAGCATAATTGACATGGGTGCGGACGGTACCATCGCTAGGTAGCGACTGATGCTTATATTATTATCAGGCGGGCGTTTACTTTCGTGCTGGATCATCCGGACAAAAATGGCACGTCGCTTTACCCCAAAAGATCGGTCGATTCGACGGTCTGGGTGGCTGATGCCTACAGGTGACATCCAATAATGGAGTTAACGATGTGCCATATGTCTTGACTAGATGATACCTCACGCCGGTATGGATTGCAATGCATGTTGATTAGGTTTGGTTGTTTGGAATTTGGATATAATATTGGAAGCTGAAAATATATGTTATGATTTATTTTATTTTATCATTATATAGTTGTAATAGTTATAGAATATAAGTAGCATTTCATATGCATTTTTTAGGGAAAGTGATCCAGATCATTATCAAAGTTCATTGGAAGTATAAAGCACCTAAAGCATAATAAAATTACATCGAGATTCCGAGATGACCGAACGACCACTACCACCGTCAAAACGAGCCGACGATGAGCAGTTGTTGCCGCTGCCCTATCGGAGCCGGCTTGACCTTTTCGATGACTGCCGGAAAGTCTTCGTGCATGTGCCCGTAAGAACTAGCACCCTAGAGTCACAGTCGTCGTTGTTGAACTCTTGAATATGTCTGAAGTACCTGACACCAAATCTTGCCACACAACGAGAAACCCTAAACATACCGCTCCAAAGAGACAGCAGGAATCTAAGTACATCCAGATGGACAAACTGGAGGAGGATCGGAGTTCGGAAGACAAACTCGAAGAAGGAGCACGGCCATCCGCCCGAGCACCGCACCTGTGAGGACTAAAAAAACCTACTCTAAACTACTAACAAGAGCGGAGGCACCGGGATTCCTCTCCTCGCCACTGGCCATCGGAGCGGTAAGCAGAGGGGAGGCGAATTCCCAGGCTCGCTGGTGAAACTTGGAGGGGAGAGTTTACCCTAGCCGCCAAGGGATAAGGGAGGAAAAGAGACCCTAGATTGGTTCTCACGGTCCTTTTATGTGTTGGGAGTTAGGATTTTTGTATGTTGAGAGAGAATATGAATAATATTCTACATGCATGGAAAAGACTGTGTACTATAGACCCAAGTGGTTGGACCTTTCCCGGACCCTCCGCATGCAAGTGGGAGCTACATGCACCGGGCTTCCCTTCTTCATCTACATGCATGGGGATAGAAATAATTAGTGGAGTATTGAACTCGCATGTGTGCATGTTTGGAGAAATAAAAGTAGTGGGATCAACTATTTAGCGCTATATATAGATGATACCCTGCATATTGCTACATGAATGTTTTGCCTATAGTACTAAAGAATTGAAAGCGGTTCCTGAGAGAATTCCGTCTATATTCATAATATTCAAGGCGGTTTAGTGGGAACTATCCAAGGGGTTTTTAGAATCAGCTCGAGTACTAGAAGTATTACCAACTATTTTCTAGAAATGGAACTCAAAATGGCAGGGAAATTGTGTGCGGGGGTCGGGGGGGGGGGGGTTCTTAATTAGTGTTTCCTTTTTTTTGAAATGGGAAGTGTTTCCTTTTTTGTTATATCCACCTACCTTTGTGTGCTTACGCCTTCCTTTTTTTTCTGTGCATGCAGTTGTTGTACCTTGGGACAAGATATTTTACCTTTGTTCCTTGATATAGAGGCACGACTATTTCGGCCAAGTATTCACATGACTAGGAGAAGGGGATCGTTGCAAGGAGTCCAACAAGCTACCCAACAAATTCAATTTCCCTTGTAGGTAACAGATAGTTGGTCCTATATGGCATGTGGGTTCTATGTTTGCGCACATATGAATGAGCGTGTCCATCGCAACAATTTGCATTACAATAAAAAATACTTACACAAGTTGCTAGTGAGAACTGTGGCCATGTCAAAGTCAAATGCTGCGTCAAAGATATGTGTGCATATTTCCTCAACAATGACATCATGTGGACACTTGGCATGCCGCCTTCTCGGGGTCTTGTCGAAACTCAGTAAAGCTCTAATCTTCTGTCGTCACATATTTGAATGGATGATGTGAAACTTGTCTTACATTTCATTTATTAATGCTAACTTTTTTCTGTCGAATATTACTTTGTCCTCACATCTTGATTTAATACGTGGATGAATTCATTTGAAGTTGTTTGTCTTCATCAATCTCTATCTCTACTACTTAAAAAGAATGTAAGGTCTCATGTTTCACTTTTCTTCCCACCACCCATTCGTCCAGCCTTTCCTGTATACGATAATCAATCACCTTAATTTACTTAGCTTCTAAACTAACTTCACTTTAATTTACTTACCTAATTTCTCATCAAACTATAAGGTAAATCAAGATTTATTAAATATTTATTTACACAATCACATTAATATGGGCAGATAATCACAAGCTAACATACTAATATAATATTTATATCATGTTGCGACGCACGAGCATAGTCCTAGTATAACTAAAAATCCACAAGTTATGTTTCCATCCGTTCTAACGTGTAAAGGTTGCAAGTGCTTAGCGACAAAGACAAGGTGATGCATATTAATTGTAAGTGGCTCCACATTGCACTTAATTTTGCAGAGACTTGGTGGAGTTGCAGATGAAGATAAAATACTCAGCATAGCACGAATAAGACATCAGCATCGAGCCATCGACTACATACTTAATTAATTTTCACCGCAATTCGACTAATTAAATTAAGGCATCCAAAGATCTTTCCTACTTCTTTGTCTTCTCCTTTTATCGAAGTGTCACTCTGAAGCGCGCGCGCCCGGCATGAGATTGTGATATTCACCAGGGACGAATTAGCACGAGAAATATTGTTAGCTCCAGAGATAAATGAGCTAGGTCAAATCAACACATCAAGCGTGGACATCAGCTCTTGTAGTTTAGTTTACCTAGCGTATTGTAGGGGGTGCAAAATATCATTTTTACCTGATTTAGGCGACATAACCAGATTTGGTTGAAAGGACTGTTTTCTCCCATGCATTATTGGCCTCTGGAAAGGGAGGAGCCATTCAGAGGCCTCTAGCATTGGAGCGACTGTCACTGCGGTGTCACTGCCCTATATCTATATAAGGCAAAACTTTCCGTTGCTTCTTTGGGTAGCGCTGCATGCTCACTAAATAATTTGGAGGGGACTTGCTAATCATAACATCTTCTGCAAGCTTAGGAAGGATTTGAGGTAAGTAGTGTACTGAGTTTGGACAAGACTCCTCTTATAGTAACGTACATACATGGATCTCTTTCTCCTTCTGTATTACATTCAGTTTGGTTTAGAAGGTTCTCGGAAACTTTTCAACCATCTATCTAGGTTAAACTGTGCTTTTTCTTTCCTAATTAGAAGGTTCCTCTCCATTATTTGCATCCATCCAAATTAAGTAGGCAACATGGACGACTCCGCCCTGTTCATGGAATGGGCCATGGACACGCTGGAGCAGGAGCACCCAGACCCGGTGGTGGTCCACGTCAACGGCGACTCCGGCGAGGCAGCCTTTCCCTCGCTTCAGGCGCTCCGTGAGCAGCGTCTCGTCTTCGAAGAGCTGATTACGGGAGCCAATCCGGCAAACAGCGCGAGCTCCGGCGAAACTACAGACGGTAGCGGAGGTTCAGGCAATTTCTCGTCCCCGGCGGCCATGGAGCACGACGTCTGGCGCCCGTCCCCGAACTCGGCCAGGTGCGCTCCGAAGCTTTGCAGGAACGGTGGGGGCACCAGCCTTCCCGTGACGAGCTGGAATTTCTGCGCCGCCTCCGCGCTGCCGGCCAGTGACGGCACACTGGACAGCGGCAGCGCCGGGGCCGGGCCTGTCGTCCCGGAGATGGTGTACGGGTCCCAGCCGACGAGGAGGACCGCCGCAAGGAGCCCTACCAGCACCGGACCCGTGTCGTCGGGGCCGCCGTACGCGCAGGACCATATCATGGCGGAGCGGAAGCGCCGGGAGAAGATTAACCAGCGCTTCATCGAGCTCTCCACCGTCATCCCCGGCCTCAAGAAGGTGCGCGCTCCACTTTGAACACCTGCACTTAGTTCTTCTTCACCACGAAAATAAATCATCTCAGTGTAGATCCATATGATTGATTCAGATGGACAAGGCGACGATCCTTTCCGACGCGACGAGGCACGTCAAGGAGCTGCAAGAGAAGATCAAGGCCCTGGAGGCAGCCGCCGGCCGCAGCAGCAGGAGCAACGAGACCGTGGTACTCATCAAGAAGAAGCCGCGCCACGCCGACGCCGCCCTTTCAGACCAGAACGGCTTGACCTCGTCGGCGTCATCGGGGGCGCCTTCTGGGGGGAATAACCCGCTGCCGGAGATCGAGGTGCGGTTCTCGGAGACCGGCGTCATGGTGAGGATCCTCTGCCACGACGTCCAGGGGGTGGTGGTGAGGGTGCTGTCGGAGGTGGAAGAGGGGCTCCACCTCACCGTCACCCACGCCAATGTCATGCCCTTCACGGCCTGCACTGTCATCATAACCATCACGGCCAAGGCAAGTTTCATTCCTTGATTTCACATTTCCAACCAATTATTCACAGTAGGTAAATGATAGCAGCAAATATCTCCGCGGAACAAATGGATCATATATACATAAAAGTCAAGTAAGATGTTTCATCAACCCAACATATATGATGCTCCCTCCATTCACTATTATAAGATGTTTTGAATATTTCAATATAGACTATATATAGACTGAAATGAATGAACAAACACACTGCGTTTATATACATTTGAATCAGAAAAAAGTTAGAACATCTAGTTAACGGAGGGAGTATATTCCATTGATAATCAACCATTGTTACACTCGCTTCATAATGAGGTATTCTCAATATTAGCCATTATAATTATTTTGAATATAGTTGCCGGGCACGGAATTTCTAGACCCACTTCTACATGTATCTCAACATGTGGACATCAAACGGCTTAATTAGAGCATCGTCTTAGATATAGGACAATCTCAGATGACTTAGATTTAGCTAAACCGAAGTGATTAGCAACTTGGACCAAAAAGACATTCATGTTTCGAAGACAATGTGATTCCAATGCTCGAAAGTTTTGTTTTAAACTGGGCTATTTACACTAAAACTTATATTCATTGTTTTAAGCTGAATAGTTCGAAGCATTCAACAAAAAAAATATTGGCCCCGGCAAAACTTAAAAATTGGATATCGATCATACCGTCATAGTTGTTCTACGATGGCCTTAACTAATGTTCTGTACAAAATACATAATCTATCCCGCATTGTGAGGAAGCTTCTTAATTTGCAAGGCATGGTCAACATGCTTAGAAAATTCCACAAACGTACTATCGTAGAGCCTACATATATATTTGATGACGAGTAAAGCTACATTTACGGGGAATTTCTTATGGACTGTACGGACGAGCTGATATCGTGAGATTTGGTTGGAGAATAAAAGGGTAGGGGCCCTAACCCAGTGAAATTCAGGGCGGAGGGGGTATTTAATATTGAGTTTGGAAGGTTCCGTAGAATGTTTGTAAATGGTGTAGCACTTTCGTGTGATGACCATTAATTTTTATTGAACAAAAACATAATTGTCAATCTAGGCAATCATGCATGTTCCCCCGGGAAAAAGAGCTAATCATGTTTGTTCATACGTATTATATTCATCTGAACGAAGTAGGAGAATACAATGCTGGTCAATAGCTAGTTCGCATTTTGTTTTCAGGTGGATGAGGGCTTCACCGTTACGGCAGAGGAGATCGTAGGAAGACTCAACTCTGTGCTGCAATTGCATAGCAGCTGCACTTCTACCGATGAAAAATGAAACAAGAAAATATAACATGTCATATGTATAGTACGGAACACATTATCCTGTATAATTATATTTGGAAGTGGTGAGAGGGAGGGCATGCAGGCAGGCATGCATGTTTCTGACGAGAATGTCTAGCTGAACCATGCATTCGCATGTATCTGTTGGTGCAACGACACCAACGGCAAAAGCTTGCTGAAATATCAAGCCAAGTAGACGATTCCAAACGAAAATGACTGGCGTCTGGCTGCATGCAAATTGTGGACATTGCTTTCTGAATATTCTGGTAATAATATCCATTCATAAGGCGTGTACTATATATGTATACACTACCACAGGGAATCCTAGTTTTTCGGTCAGTCCATAGAGTTGGTTTTGGACGAAAAATTCAGCCAACACAAAATAATTATAAAAATCATTAGTTACGGATCTATAGGAAAACCGACTCAAAGAGTTCTTTCTTTAGGTTGGCTTGAAGAAACCAACTCAACAATTATTTAATTGCAAGTTGTAGAAAAAACTCAAGTGGTTTCTTATCCAACCATCTAGGATAATCCATGCCCAAAAAGCCAAACAACAAGGAAACCAATTATCCTCCCTCTCAAACCAAAACCCTAGTGTCATCTTCTCCCCTCCTGTCTCCCCAGCGACACAAACGAGCCCCTGTGCATCTGCATCTGCGATCCCATGCCTCCACCGTTAAAAGCCTCCATATAAAGTAATTTTGGCCCTCCAACAACACAATCTCAAGAATTATTCAAGACATCGTAGATGCATGCATGCAATGAAATTGGTTATTTTAAGGGAAAAACGTACATGACACCAAAATGCCATGCTGGAGTGGCCAATGGCACGAACCAAGGCATTAACATCAACCGCCGTCCTTGACAACGCCCAACTACGACAAATGTCATCCGACCACTTAAGTTCAGATGAAAGATTTTCACCATGACGTAGCTCTGGTGAACCGGATTCGACTCCAACAAGCCCAAGCGGTGAGGTTGGTTCCTTATAAAAATGGAAGGTTATTGAGTTTCCGGATTTTTAAGTTGCATACGCTCACATGTGTTTTGGTGCAAACACACACAGACAATGTGCTGTAGCGACTCTGGGGTGTCTGCAAGAAGTTTGTCAGAGCCAACTATTCAAAAAATATGACGTGGAATCATCCTTCGGCCGCGATTCGTGCTCATAGATCGAACGGCGGATGCGGTCGCCGGGAAATGCCAGAACTCTGGCGTTCGCCGGATAGCATTTCACTATAAAAAACATCTTCATGCTCTGCAACTTCGACCCAGTTTTCAGTAGTGAGTGTGTATTTGTGTCACTACGTGTACTTCTACATTGTAATCGGAGTTTTAAAAAGGTCCACCTGGCCGGCGGCCGCCAAGAAATGGTGAGAAAAGAATGAAAAAACTAGTGGTACTGCAGTTGGAGGACAACACCGACACTTCCCCATTGTTGCATGAGCGGACTGATCAGTCAAGTTGTGATTTTGAAGGTTCAAACTTGTAAGTATCAGCTGACGTGACGGAAAGAACACTATTGCTACAACCAGGCCGCACAGGAAGTGCATTTGGTGCGCTCGCCCGGTTGGGCTGCATTTGCATGGCCCCTACCCTACCCACCCACGTGGCCTTGTCCCTAATATGTCGAATACTATTACGCTAGTACGTAGTTAATTAACGCCGCCCCCGTGTTTGCCACCTCGCTAGGGGAGCAGACCAACCCTTTTTCTGCACAGACCTGTAGGCTGTAGCAGCCATGTTGAACCATGTCCGCGTCCGCGTCCGCCATGTTGAACCCCGCAGCAGGCTGCTCCGCCTCCTCCTCCTTCGGATAGGCCACCTCCATCGGCTCCGGTAGCTGCCCTTCTTCCTCCTCCTCCGACTATTGCTGCTCCTCCTTTTCCAGCTCTAGCGAGTCTGTAGGCCGCCCAGCAGCGATGCGGGCAGCACGCCTCGCCTGGATCTACGCGATCTGCCTCCGGTGCTCCGGCTTCAGCATAGCGTATGCCGTGATCTTGCGCCGGACCATGACGATGCCGGAGAGCGTGGGAGAGCGGGAAAAAGGAGGCAGGCGAGCTCGGGTAGCGGCACAGAAAGGGAGGAGGTGGATGGGCTAGGGTTGGGGAACGCCGGCCAGCTTAAACAGCCGGATTTGTCCTCTGGCGGCGAGCTAGAGCGGTGTTACGTGATGTTCACACCGCGGTGACGGAGGAGGTGTCTGTCGGACCGTCGGGTTTCCGGACGATTCCGCGTGGGACCCCATCGTTAGTCCTGCGTGGCGGGCGCCCCCATATACCTCCCGTATTTGGGCTGGATATGAGGGTGTGGGTCAGCCCGAACGTTTCAGGCTAGTTTGAGGTGCCCGTCTGGGTCAGATTTTGGTGACCGAGCGGGCCGCCCAGACGTTTGAGGCCGGTTTGGTACGCTCGGCTATAGATGCTCTAAGTTGCTTTGGCTACATTGTGATGGTACTTGTTTCATCAAACTAGGGATGCAAGTGGAGCGTGTCGTATCCTCCATGGAGGCGCCGTCTTGGGAGGCTTGGGTGTTGTGGGGAGAGTTATCGTGGGTGGTGGGCTCGGTGTGGCAGCTCCAGTCACGGCGACGGTGTGGAGGTTAGCAGGAGGAGCGGCGTTGGATCTACCGCGTCGACGACGACGAGTATTGGTGGCATGGTGCGGTTGAATCTCGATGACAGATGCGTCTGGATGGACGAGCGCATGGCGGTGATGCTGTTTGGCACCGTGGCGGCGTCGACGGCAGGCCTGGCAAGGTCATTACATGAGTGTCCACTCTGAAGATAGATTGGTGGAGGACGGCGGCGATGACCCATGAAAGTGCGTCAGACTAATTTGTGCCCTAGACCCGGTATGTGGCTTGGTTGAGGCCTCCGGTTTTAGATGTTAGGCATTTGGGCGATGTCTGTTTGGTATTAGGCTTAGACTATCAGCATCCCTTCATCAAATGAATAGGAATAGTGATAGATATTGCTAAGATGATGGCTTCAGACTATCCAACGTACTATTTTATAAAATCTTTATAAATAATTAATAAAATGACTGCATGCATCGCTCTGACACAGATGGCAAGGGTAATCTTCCTTTTCTAAAAAAAAAGTGAACCGTGTCCCCGTACGTCCGCCCACGACGGCCGGATACGAATTGATGATGTTCAAATTACACCCCTACGGATGTGTGCGCACACTGTCCGCCTGACACACACTACTTGAGGAATCATGTAAAAAGGATGAGTTGGGAAAGAAAAGTTAATGCAATTTATCCTTCTTCTGATCACAATTAGTTTTATCCAATATATTTGGTCACAATTAGTTTTATCACACCTCACCATACATGGCACCTCATCAACCACACTACTTGTGTTTCTCCTTACATGTATGGGAAATGCTACTTACGGTATTTCTCTCAACATGCATGTTGTTGGGCTATATTCAAACTTTTCTTACTTTGAGTTCAAATATGTAGATTCACGAGGTGAAAATATGCAGTGTGTGAAAGATAGACTTGTTATACAAACAATTGTTATTTTCTACAAATATGTTCCTACAAATATTAATGAGAACGATGTAAATATATAAACGGTGTTTATTGAAAAGATGGAGTAAATATTACATCATGTGAAGGGACAAGAATACTATCTAACTGACAATATCCCTGCTCCTTTTATGTAATCTTAGCATAATATAGCACTTTGCCAGTAGAGAAATACTTAGTATTTTGTTGTTGCCTTATAAAAAGTTGGAGTGGATCAATTTTCGAGCCGTTGGATTTCGATCGAACGGTTGGCATGCCTCTTCTTACTCAGCCTATCTTCCTCCTCCCTCACACGTAATGCCAGCCATACCATCGGCACAAACATGGCATCCCCCATCCGCACCGTTGCCCCGACCTGCCCCAGCCGTTGCCCCCGCCCAGCAATGCTCTTGACCTTCCCTATAAAGTCTAAACCTCACCATGATCTCCGGTGTCCAACGATCTGCACACCTCGTACTTGCACAGTAAAGTCTTGAACAACTGGGAAAATATCTGGTGCACCGGAGCTTGTGGTGCTAACGGTGCACCAAGCTCATATTGTGCTTTTAAAATATTCAAGAAATTCTGAAAAAATAGCACACTCACACAATATCAATGTAGGTTGTCACAATAATTCAAGTCGAAATTCGAAACATAACTCGAAAAACAAAAATGACAAATTCCACACTGAATAGTACATAACATAACTTGAGCTTTAGATTTGGCCCATTATCACAGTGATGTCAAATTTGTCATTTTTATATCTCAAAAAATATTTCAATTTTTTATATGAAATTTTGTGACATCATACATTGATATTGCATTAACATTGAATTTCAGATTTTTAAAAATATTTTATGGCATCCGGTGAACCTCGGTAGCAAAGCAAGTGCGGGTGCACCGGATACATCCCCCACTTCAACTGGCTATGCAGTCTCCCGGCCGATCATTTTTTTTATGTGCGGGTCGTCAGGGCGGGTGCAGATGAGCTCGGGAGCATAAACGCAGCACCCATGTAACTCTCGTTTCATTTGGCACATTCAAAATCAG